TGGTACAATACGTATATTTTTCCTTGTTTTTATTTTTAATCTAGCGACTATTTTTTTTATGTACTTATTTATTCCTCATAGTTGCAAGTCTCCCATACGCATCTTTTGTCAACATCCATCTCCAGTATTCTGAATGGTTCTCAATTTCTATGCCACATAAACATGAATATCCCTTTCTCTACCTCTACATATATGGTCACAGCAAACCCTAAATTATTATTATCATTATCATTATTATTATCATAAGCAGAACCGTCCATATACAATACTTGTCACAGGGATATGGGCATGTATGTACAACGCTTCATACGGCATACGGCATAGGTTACGTCACCTGAAAGGACCGTCAGAACATCAAAACAAAGGGCATTACACAGGCCCCTAGGATCAGGTGACCTCCGAACATCAGAATGAATCATATCTCAATTCACTGAATGGACATCGATCTTCTGGGAGATTTGAAACCAGCGATAGTATATCCATCTCGGTCTTACTCTTTATCCTTTGTGTGTGTGTATGGTTATTGTAACCGTTGTTGTCGTACGTAGCTTGTACTGTAGCGATACGTTGTACGAGTATTTTGTATGAGGAACCTGCGTGAGGAACCTGCGTGAGGAACCTGTTTGAGTAACCTGTATGAGGAACCTGTATAAATAACCTGCATGAGTAATTGTACGAGTAACTGCGTGAGGGAACCTGCACGAGTGCCTTGTATGAGTAACCTGTACATGTAACCTGCAGAATTAGCCTGTATGAGTAATCTGCCCTACCCTACTACAGGAATACATACAGGGTAGTCAGCTTTTAATCTAATGGTACTTAATTATCATATTCCTTTATCAATTTCGCTTCATGGAATAATACTTGCCACGTCACCCTGCTTTGTACTGTGTCATGTAGATAACAACCCTTCCTTACCAGGACTCGAACCGTGGCTGCTCCAGGTATTACCCGGTTAGGAGGGTTGTTATTTATCCATATTAATACGGCAATGTATTATTCCATCTTTCAGTGTTACATGTTTATGTCTATATTTTATTTTATAGACCATGGGCACCTAGCAGCTTAGAAATACATCTATTATCATTAACTTTTTGCAATATACCCACATCGGTGAAAGGAACTGCCCTGTAAATAAGTCAGTGAGTTGACATTCACATCATCAGAAGCAGAAATTTTAAACTGCACTTCAGATAATTGCCGGAAATAGAAAGTATAAGCGACACAGAAGCTCAACACTATATTTCTAAATGTAATTGATTGGTGTTGATTTGTATGAAACCATTTTGTCCGGGGGAGCATTTGGGCTTACAGAGCTAGGCGCGACTAACACGCACTGCCCAGTGGCGACACTTAATCTGAATGAAATATGCAGATTAACCGCACACTGTGAGACTAATGATGATGGGCGTGTCTTTCAGATCTCCGGGATGCCTGGCGTGGTCCCCGCCCTCATCCGACCCCTGGCAGACCTGACCCTGCACCGCTCCCCGCCCCCGCGGACGCCCGCACGTCCGCCTTCGACGCCCGCGCCCTTCCCCTGGAGCACCATGCGCCTCAAGCAGACTCTGCACCGCACGGCGAGCCTCCCTGAGGGCCGCCGCATGCCCGCGCGGGGGGATCCGCGGAGGCGCACGATAGGGACCTGCAGGCAGTCCTCCGTCAGGTCGCGCATGTCGGCCTCCATGCGGCGGTCGCTCCGGCAGCGGGGCGGCCCCCTCTACTACAGCGCCCGCGCGCGCATGAGGGACGTGAGGAACTGGGCGGACGTCGTGAGCCGCAGGATGGCCGGAAGGAGCTCGACGCCGCTCGCGACGCCCGCGCGCCCGCGACTGCAGCCGACGGTGGTCGTGGCACACGGGCGGCCATCGCCGAGGCCTGCCAGGAATAGCCCCCGGGTACGAGCGGCTCGCAGGGTGGCGTTCGCGGCCCACACGTTACGATGGGAGGCCGCCAGTGGGCTCGCGGCCTTGTTGGAGTGCGGAGCTTCCGCGGGAAGTAGTGCGGCAGCGGCGGTGGTGCGGGCGTGTGCGGCAGTCTTGGCCATGGCAGACGCCAGGCTCCAGCAGCTGCGGCGCTCGATCAGCTCCTGGAGCCTTTCGACCGTTAAAAAACCCAAGATCAACATCCCGAAATTAAAGACGCCCAAACTGAAAATCTTCAGCGGCCGCAAAAGGAACAGGTAAGCATCGAAGACACCAGCGGCCCTTTTTTGCCGTCGGAGGGTCACCACAACAGAGCCGAGCCTATTTATAGCCCCCTTTTTCTCAGATACGTATGCTGAATTGTCTACTTTGCTCTCTGGACATAACCGCTCTTAGAAAGGATGGCCTGAACGGTGTGGAGGAAAGCACGTGTCTGAATACCTAAGAATGAAAAAAAAAACGCTCTTGTCTTTAAATATACACATATCTTTCTCTTTCTCTTTTCCTCTACCTGTTTGTCTGACTGTCTGTCTCTGTTTCTCTTTCTCTTTCCCTCTTTCGCTCTTTCTCTTTTTCTCTTTCTCTCTATCTTTCTCCCACCCCCTGCTCTCTCTCTCTCTCT